TATTAAAACTCACTCAATATGAAATAATTTGAATAATACAGAAGTGATTTGTAATTTAAAACTTTCCAGCAAAGAAAACTTTATGTTCAGATGACTTCATTGGGGATTTATAACAAAGATTTGAAGAAAAAAAGTAGCAATTCTATATTATATTCTCTAGGATATATAATTAGGAAATCTACTCATTACTCTAGTACCAAATACAGTACAAGAAAAAAAAATGATAGTAAAATATCCCTCACAAATATAGTTTTAAAAATTGTGAAGAAGTTGGGCAAGGTGGCACACACCTGTAATCATAACAACTCAGAAGGCTATGGCAGTAGGATTATGTATTTGAGGGCAGCCTTGCCAACTTAGACCCTGTCCCAATAAAATTTTTAAAAAGCACTTGGGGGGGGGGCTGGGGTTGTGGCTCAGTGGTAGATCGCTTGCCTAACACATGTGAGGGCCTGGGTTCAATCCTCAGCACCACATAAATAAAAATAAAATAAAACAAACTACAACTAATATATATATATATATATATATATATATATATATATATATATATATAATTTTTTTTTTTTTTAAAGGAGTTGGGTATGTAGCTCACTGATAAAATGTCTGGATTTAATCCCCAGTACCACATATCAAAAAATCCTGAACAAACTATTTACAAATCAACTCAAGTGATGTATAAAAATAAAATTCATTAACACTAAGTAAAGTTTATTCCAGGAATAGGAGAAGGAATGAAAGGTTGCTTCACTATTTGAATATCAATTAGCATATATTATCACATCAAAATATTAAAGAACAGAAATTATATAATAATCACTACAGATTAAGGAAAATAATTTAACAAAATTTACCATCCACTCATGGTAAGAATAACTCTAGTAATAATAAAAACTCTTGGTTTAATAAAAATAAAAGGGAACTTAACCTGGTAAAGGGCAACTCTGAAAAACCTATAGCTAACATCACACTTAATAGTGAAAAAATTAATACCTCCCTCTAAAAATCAAGAACAAGGCAAGAATGATCACTTTTATTAAGACAAGAACCTGTAGATCCTAGATACTGCTGTGAAGCACCATACAGGGGGAAAAAATGCATGGATATGAGAAAAGAAGAAATAAGACTATCTTTATTTGTGTATATCCTGATTGTGTAGAAAATACCAAAGAACCAAATCAAAAGCTTCTGGAACCAATATGTGAGTTTGCAAAGTTTCAGAACATTAATTCAATATATCCAAATGAATTATATGTTGATAAACTAGGAATGAACAATTGGTGATCTTTTAAAAATGCCATTTAAAATAGCACCCTGCAAAAAAACAAACAAAAAAAAATACATAGGTCCCTAAATTTAACAGAATGTGTTGGATCAATCTCTGTGTTGAAAACTATAAATATCTGGTGAAAACTCAAGGATCTAAACAATTAGATATGTTAAGGAATCAGAAGAACTAAGATTGTTAAGATGCCCATTCTTCCTAACCCAATCTACATTCAATGCAGTAAATACAATCTCTAATATAATCCTAGCAGGATTTTTTGCAGGCATTGACAAAATGATTCCATATTTCATATGGGAATGAAACTGTTGGAAAATAATCAAATTTGAACAAAATCTATTAAAAAAGCACAATCTATAAAAAGAAAATAAAAGTAAATGTGTTTCATAAAAAGTAACAACTCTGTGAAATACATTGTAAATAAAATAAAATACAAACCATAGAAGGAAGAAATATTTTCGTATTATATTTCTTTTTTTATTGATATAAATTATTTTTATTGGTTGTTCAAAACATTACAAAGCTCTTGACATATCATATTTCATATATTAGATTCAAGTTGGTTATGAACTCCCAATTTTACCCCAAATACAGATTGCAGAATCACATCGGTTACACATCCACATTTGTACATAATGCCCTATTAGTAACTGTTGTATTCTGCTACCTTTCCTATCCTCTACTATCCCCCCTCCCCTCCCCTCCCATCTTCTCTCTCTACCCCATCTACTGTAATTCATTTCTCTCCTTGATTATTTTCCCATTCCCCTCACAACCTCTTATATGTAATTTTGTATAACAATGAGGGTCTCCCTCCATTACCATGCAATTTCCCTTTTCTCTCCCTTTCCCTCCCATCTCATGTCTCTGTTTAATGTTAATCTTTTCTTCCTGCTCTTCCTCCCTGCTCTGTTCTTAGTTGCTCTCATTATATCAAAGAAGACATTTGGTATTTGTTTTTTAGGGATTGGCTAGCTTCACTAAGCATAATCTGCTCTAGTGCCATCCATTTCCCTGCAAATTCCATGATTTTGTCATTTTTTAGTGCTGCGTAATACTCCATGGTGTATAAATGCCACATTTTTTTAATCCATTCATCTATTGAAGGGCATCTGGGTTGGTTCCACAGTCTAGCAATTGTGAATTGTGCTGCTATGAACATCGATGTGGCAGTATCCCTGTAGTATGCTCTTTTAAGGTCTTCAGGGAATAGTCCGAGAAGGGTAATAGCTGGGTCAAATGGTGGTTCCATTCCCATCTTTCCCAGGAATCTCCATACTGCTTTCCAAATTGGCTGCACCAATTTGCAGTCCCACCAGCAATGTGCAAGTGTACCCTTTTCCCCACATCCTTGCCAGCACTTGTTGTTTGACTTCATAATGGCTGCCAATCTTACTGGAGTGAGATGGTATCTTAGGGTGGTTTTGATTTGCATTTCTCTGACTGCTAGAGATGGTGAGCATTTTTTCATGTACTTGTTGATTGATTGTATGTCCTCCTCTGAGAAGTGTCTGTTCAGGTCCTTGGCCCATTTGTTGATTGGGTTATTTGTTTTCTTATTGTTTAATTTTTTGAGTTCTTTGTATACTCTGGATATTAGGGCTCTATCTGAAGTGTGAGGAGTAAAAATTTGTTCCCATGATGTAGGCTCCCTATTACCTCTCTTATTGTTTCTCTTGCTGAGAAAACACTTTTCAGTTTAAGTAAGTCCCATTTGTTGATTCTTGTTATTAACTCTTGGAAAATAAAATAAAGGTATTGTGTCCATATATAACTAAAAATATTTAAAAAAATAAAAATAAAAACAGTTCATCATCTTATAAATTAAAACATGTAGTTAACATATGACTCAGTGATGCCACTCCTAGGTATTTACTCAAGAAAATGACTACTTACCTATACACATGAAACTTTATGCAAATGTTCCTAACAGATTTATCCATAGTTTCCAATACTTGAAAGTGCCCAGATGTCCTTCCTTGGTTTAATGAATTCAGGTATATTTATATAATGAAATACACACCTAAATCTAAGAAATAAATATTTTAAAAAATACAATGAAATGGAGCAAACTGCTGATAACACCAAACAACACAGATAATCTCAGGTCACTATGCTGAGTGAAAGAATTTATGCTCAGGTGACTATATACTATAAGATCACATTCATATGGTATTATCGAAAAGTCAAAATTGTAGGAATAGATCATTGGTTGCTAAGAGCTGGGATGACTGGAGAGATCTATTACAAAGAGGCCATACAAGGGAAATTTTTGGAGTAATGTAACTATTCTGTGTCTTCAGAAAATTAGTGGAGACCTTGCTGTTCCGAATGTTTCGGAGAGAAACCCTCAACTCATTCCTGTGCCCTCTATTACATAAATTTTTTCTGTTATCAGATCTTTTAACTTTTGTTAGGGAAGTACCTGTTGGAGAAAGAAAAAAAAAGTCAGGGGTGTAAATTGCAGTGTATTGCTGTATGAATCTATAATTTCCTTATTAGATGGCTTCACTGTTCAAAGTATTGAGAAGAAGGGAAATAATTTTTATTTCCATGTCAGGGTATTTTGTCGTATCCTTATGTAGTATACTAGAAAAAAAAGCTGTTTGGTTGATCTTATCATGTTTGTATTGTTGCTGTTTTCCTAATTAAAAAAAAAAAACACTTTTCCTTGAGCAAAGATTTCTTTCTACCAACTTTTAGGAATAACAATTTCAGTATGATTGCTTTTCCTAAGGTGGTAAATTCTTTTAATCAAATTGCAAGTGTTGTTTATAGAAAGGAAGTGCCATAATTAATAAAAAATAAAGTTTGACTTGCTTTTTATTTATAAGATTCACAGTTCTTTGCCATTGATAGTAAATACTTCTCTACTGGAAGAACAAATAAAGTTTTCTATTTTCTTTTATTTCTCCTTTTTTTAACTTGTCTAGTTTCAGGGGTGTCAGTTATTTAAATATTACTGTTATATGGTTTATTTTTACTAAAATGTACATGAGTTTGGGTTTTTATTTGCATATTATACTTATAAAATAATTGTTTTGGTTAGTGTTGCCTAAAGTGACCAAACTTTCACAGTCACTAAACTTTGCAATTTATTTTTAAGCTTTAAGAAGAGCTTTAGATGTAATATATAAAAAGAACCACTTTATCCCAAAAAGAGGGGAAAACAAAAGCAAAAGCAACCTTTTATTTCAGAGCACAGCTTCTAATTCTAAGACATATGCCAGATGCCTCCCTTGACAAAGAACAGTGAGTGTCCCTGTTGATAATTGACCACATATGGCTACCACCGTCTCTGGCTTTACTATCCATAAATATTTATTTCAGTGAAAGAACCCTTTTTCCCCTATTCACACTAGCCAGATAAGGGCTTTCCTTTTTTTTTCTTTTCTTTTTTTGTCTTTAAAGCTTGTGCTTTTTATGAACAAATTCAGTGTGTGAGTGTGTGTGTGTGTGTGTGTGTGTGTGTGTGAGAGAGAGAGAGAATATATATATATATATATATATATATATATATATATATATATATATATTTTAGTGAGAAGCTGTCCCCATTCAGCACACAAATTACTGCCCATTACTGGCAATTGATTCATTTAAACAAATTTGCAGCTTGAAAGCACTGAAATTGTATCAAAAAAAGAGAAGTGTACAAATGTTACACATACCAAATTTTTATTCCAATTTTCAGAGTATCTTCTTTTATTTTTAGATGAATCTACGTTCTGTATTTACTGTAGAACAACAAAGGATTTTACAGCGTTATTATGAAAATGGAATGACAAATCAAAGTAAAAATTGCTTTCAGCTCATATTACAGTGTGCACAGGAAACTAAGCTGGACTTCAGTGTAGTCAGGGTAAGTATTGAGGTCTTACACTCAAATTTATAGCTGTTTATTTCAAGTGACATTTGTTTAATATGAGAAAACAATTCAGGGCATGAAGTCACTAACTTTATAAACAACTTCATTTCCCTGGTATAACAATAATAACTTTAATAAATTTGTAGTATATACATACCTTTTAAATATTTCAGTTTTTAACTAATAAATATATTTAAGATTGCTTATTGATCTTATGCTTCCTTTAATCCTCAAATTAATCTAGACATAACACCCAAATGATAGTGAAAAAAACATTTTCCAAGGGAATTCTGTGTGCATATTTTTGTTGTTTTTGTGTTTGAATTTTTCTTCAGGCTTTTATGACTTTAGTATTTTTGTCTTTTCAGGAAAACCTATTCTTTTTCATTCTAAATAAAATGAACACACTTTGATGGTTAGCAAGTGAGGAACAGAAATCCCAATGGAGGAAATTATCACAACCATAGTTGTTCAGCTGTAAAAAAAATCAGAGCTGTTACACATTCATGAAAAGCAATGAGAATGTGATAGAGAGGAAGCAAGAGATAAATCTAACAGAACTAGTCACGGATTTGATTGAATGCATAGGTCCTTTCATGTTTGTTTAAACATGCTACAAATCCTCTTGTCTTGAAACCTTAGTGATTCAATGATTAGCAACTTTCTCTTCTTTGGCATCCATAGGGTAATTTGGGGAAGAGAAAGGACTTCTGTTTTTAAGTTTATTTTGCTGTTCCATTACCTTCAAAGACCCTAGAGATAAAAAATATTTTGATACTTAGAATTCTTTGGAAAATATTTCCTAAAGACTGAAGGATATCCTCACCTTCAAATAGGGAATTATGCCACCAATTCTAAGGGAAAATATCCATCATTCTCAGATTTGTGTAAGAACTATAAATCTATTTATTGCTCTAAATGCACTGCTTAAAATTACCTTTACTAAACTTCAGAGGAAAATGTTTAATTCCTTTAACAAGTAATGTGGAAATATTTCAGATTGATGAGATCTTATAAGTACAAACTCTGTTTTTTCCTATAGTAATTTTCTTTTTTTCCCCCTTTATCTTGCATTACATTAAAGTGAAAAGCTTTCCCAGGCAGCTGCATTGTGGGCTATCTTTTGTATTTCCAGTTTGTTATTACAATATTCCCCTCATGATTAACTTGATTGTCCTTGAATACTGATTGTGGAGATACAGATGTTTATACTCCAAATGTAGGATTACAAGTATAATATTATATAAGGTAGAAGGAATTCTGTAAAACAGATTTATTAATTCCATTCCAGGCGAATAAGAATAGTAAATAAACTCAGACTTCCCAATCTAAATCCAAACACAATTTTGATAACTTTTCCATTCAAATGAAAAGGGATTTGTTAGTAAATTCACCAGTAAAAAATAAAATTCCTCCTTCCATATTTTGCCTGGTCTATATGTACTAACTTGGAAGACATCTGTCTTTATTATTTTAATAGAGTATTTTTATCTTTCAAAATAACTTAAGTTCCACTGTATTAAGAATTTAATTCCAAAATAAAGATAAAAGGTGAAAACATCCAAGCAAAAATAAATATAATGGGGAAAAGAAAAAAGGTAACAAAGAATGAGGCATAGGAAAAGGAAAAGAGATTTAGAGATGTGAATTTCTGAGAACTAAGATAATTTTATGAACACCAAATATTGTGACTAAAATTTTATTTTTTCCCTATAGTAGTGTTGCTTTGTTAGTTCCTCACTGAAAATTCTCCTTTTATTGATATATGTAACATGTTTTTTTTTTCATTCTCACAATGAGGCATTTACAATAGGAATTACCTACATCTAATAAGTATTGGTCAATTTTGGATCTTATAACTTTTGGTGAACTTTAATAAATCTTTGGGAACTCTCAGGCAATGCATTTTCCTTATTGTCAACAATTTTATGTGGGATTATTTAAGTGTATAGTTTTGTGCTTTTCTTCAGTAAAAAATATGGAAAGTAATTGAACATTTACTTTTTGACTCATGATTTTCATTATAGAAATCAATTATTATTCTGTGCTATAAAATAATAATGCTCAAAACTTGTTCATGTATGTGGGATTATTTTCACCTTTATTAAAGAAGCTCAAACTGCTATTTAATGATTTCTTACATTGATTTTGTTTTCCTTTTTATTTTCTCCTGAGTAATGTATAGTGAACATTTCTAATTTAGTGATATCAGGGTGCCTACCATTGACCACCTCTACCACCAATGCCCTTTCTATTTTGTTGTTTCTAATTTGCTGTAAAATAGGATACCAGGTTTTTTCAAATTACATATAAATTCATAGAAAGGGGATTCTAAGGTTAGGGGTTCTTTTATCAGTGAATTACATGGGTCTTGTTACATCTTGTATTGTCTGTGTTATGGAAAGTGAGATTGATATCTATGTTGATAGATAGCTGTGTTTCATATGTACATTGTATTATTCTAGTTTATTTTCTTTATTGGCACATAATATAAATATTTACTAAAACACATATGTAACTATACATAATATACATCTATATGTGTAAACCTACAAAATTATAGAAGCCATAAATTTGCAATGCATTAAGATCATTCTGGAACTTCCTAAGTTAGCTAATGTGTGATGAGAATATAGTATGTTATGGATTTTTTGAAAGATGGCCAGAGCTGCCCTCAAGATATAAGAGTTCTTGAATCCAAATGTTATCTGTTCACTGTGCTCTCCCATTGAAATGTTTCAATATAATGCTTGTATACTTTTGTTAAAATTATGTACAAATCTGTCATGTTTCCCACACATTTTTCTTAACTTGAAAAGCCATGTCATTGAAGCTGATTTAGGATATTTTTAAAATTAACCCTTCTGGGAATTTTATCTTCCAAAGATATTTTTCCTTATATATTTCTCTATAGTATATACTTTGAAATATTTTTGTTTTTCTCACTTGTTTTCTGTGACATTTATACTTATATGACCTTTGACCTCTAAGTCTTGCTTCTACTGTTTTATGAAAGGAAATCAGAGTCAGTTTAAAATTTCCACTACCTTATGTTAAAGAAAAAGTATCATTGTGTTTTATAGAACATTTTCTTTGTGGAAAAAATAATTATAAAAGTAGATTAGACAACAGAGATAACTTTTAGTAGTTTCTACTCATTACACATGGGATAGTGGAAGAGTATTATATTTTGAGGTTAAGTAGAGGTTGACTGAATCCTTTCTCTAGTACTTGTTGGCAGGATGTCCTTCCACAAGCTACTTATTTTTCTGAACTTCAGTTTCTTCATATACATATATTTATATATGTGTATATATACTATATAGATATATATGTATGTATGTGTATGCATATATATGAATACACATATATGTGTACATATATGTATATATATAAATAAAACACATAAGGGAATCAATACATATTAGCTTTTATTTATAGCATTGCAGTGTCATTAATGTTATGTATATAATCAGAAATTATATAAATAAACTTGGAAAATTCAATAATTTGTGAGGTTTTCTGGAGCGCATCATAGGAAAGTTATCCAGATATATCTACACCACATTTCTGCAAGACTAGTACATTTATTTTTTTCATTTATTCATTTATTTTGTTTAATTCTTAGGAGATTAATGTGTTTTGGTAGTTTATCATATGGTATGCATTATGAAATAATTACAGAGTCTGATAATCACATTAAGGAATTTAATGTTTCTTATTGCATATTTTAAGAAGAACCATGACTCAATGCAATAATACTAGGTAATTATAATAAATTACTTATATAAAAGTATGCATTTTATAATCAAATCTTAAGTGCCAACCACTGGCATTATTTTTATTAATAACTTTTTTCTGTTTATGGAAGTAATACATATTCATTGTATAAAACTTGCTAAGTAGAGAAAAGTGTAAAGAAGAAAATCACTATCATAAATTAATGACAAGCAAATACAATTGCAATGTGTGACAAAGTGTTACTATCTTTAGCAGAAAATTGTTCTTACAAATCACTTCAAAATGACAAATACTCCAATATAAAAGTAGGTAAAGGAAATGAATGAGCAATTCTATCAAAGTAATATAGTAACCATAGAAACTCAATTCAAATCAGCAATTATTTACCTTTTATTAACTCCAAAACTAGTGAAGACTAAAAAAAAAGAAAAAAAATGAAAACCTTTAGTGAGAGTGTGAGGAAACCAGAACAGTCATATTTTTAGGGCAGTGGAAAATAGCAGATCTTAGCAAATATCCGAGAATTACATTCTAATGAACCAAAAGAAAAAAGATACATTTTAAATAAGTTTTATTGCAATATGGCTTATAATAATGAATGTTTCTAAAAATATTATAAATAGCTATCAGTATACATTAGAAAGTTACGTATATGTGCAACATAAATTGTTAAGCCTTATGATTGCAAATGTATATATGTTTAAAAAAAGCATTTTCTATTGACATTAAAGTATGCTCCCAATATTTTACTATTATATGTAAATATATGATGAATATATATTTATATGTTTACATATAAATTTTGCCTACATCTGTTATTACATTTTATAATAGAGTCCTAGAAATGTATTTATTAGGTCAAAAGGTATAAGCATTTTTAGAATTCTTGATATATATTAATTGGATAGGTTTTGTGGAGGAGAGGAACAATAATATAGTCTGTTTTCAAAGTTCCTAGATATTTATCCATCGAGTCCTTAATTAGCTGTTTAGCTACTTTCTCATTTATTGTTAGCTTTTTATTAACCTTTGCATAGGTCTTGATCTTATGATAAATAAGAATAATATTTATCACTTAGAAATTATTTTTTCTTGTTCTTAAACTTTTTCATAATACCGTTTTTTATCCTTTCAGACGTGGGTTGGTAATAAGCGAAGAAAAATGAGTAGTAAGAATTCTGAATCAGGAGGAACAACAGGAACTGTTTCTGGTACCGCTTTGGCAGCTCCAGACATTACAGTCAGAAATGTGGTTAATATAGCTCGACCCTCAAGCCAACAGTCTTCTTGGACATCTGCCAATAATGATGTCATTGTTACTGGTATATACAGTCCGGCCAGTTCATCAAGTAGGCAAGGGACAACCAAACATACAAATACACAAATTACAGAAGCACATAAAATTCCTATTCAAAAAACAGCCAGTAAAAATGATACTGAGTTTCAGTTGCATATTCCTGTTCAAAGACAAGTTGCACACTGTAAAAATGCCTCCCTGCTCCTGGGTGAAAAAACAATTATTTTGTCAAGACAGACAAGTGTGCTAAATGCTGGCAACTCAGTATACAATCATACAAAGAAAAACTGTGGAAGCTCTTCTGTGCAAACTTCTGAAATGACAGTACCTCAAAAGCCATCTGTGTGCCACCGACCTTGCAAAATTGAACCAGCTGGGACTCAAAGGTCATATAAGCCTGAACATACAGGTCTGGCATCACATAACTTATGTGGACAAAAGCCAACTATTAGAGACCCTTACTGTAGAACACAAAACCTGGAAATCCGTGAAGTGTTTTCACTGGCAGTCAGTGACTATCCCCAGAAAATTCTGGGAGAAAAGGCCACACAGAAATCTAACTCAGCAGAAGGAACTTGTTTGTCTATTGCAATGGAGACTGGAGATGCTGAGGATGAATATTCCAGAGAGGAAGAGTTGGCTTCGATGGGAGCACAGATACCAAACTACTCAAGATTTTATGAAAGTGGCAGTTTCCTTCGAGCTGAGAACCAAAGTGCAACTTTGTCTGGAACAGGAAGAAATATGCCAAATTCACAAATGGTGAATATCAGAGATTTGTCAGACAATGTACTGTATCAAAACAGAGACTACCATTTGACACCAAGGACCTCATTACATACAGCATCTAGTACAATGTACAATAATACAAATCCATCACGGAGTAATTTTTCTCCACATTTTGCATCATCAAATCAATTGAGATTATCACAAAACCAAAACAATTACCAGGTAATGTGTAAACTTATTTTATAGAGGTTATTAAAAGCTATGTTTGGCTTAAAAACTGAGTTTTATAGTTAGATTTGGGACCTGGGTCATTTAACTTATGTTCTGAAGTAATGTGAGATTTTTGCTTCAAAGTAGTGGTTTGGGGTCAGCTCCTTAAAGAATCTAGTGCTTTCTTTGTCATGTTTAGACATGATGAGCTTTTTTAAAAAAGATGAAATGTAGCCAATTTTATAACATGGCAGCCTTCCCCTGACATTTAAAATGATTTTGGTCAGAAACTGGTAGCTTTATGGGAAGCATGGCATTTTCCATATCTAAAATAGGATTAAATTGGCTAGGCTTATCCTCTTGAATGTAGATTATTCTTGTAATTATTTTTACTTGCAATTTGGGGAGATGACATTCGATGACTGGTGCCTTCCTTGGGTACTTAGGCAAGTCATTTTTTTTTCCCTAGGTGCTAATGACAAAGTCAAAGCCTGAGGTATCTCAGACAACCATTTTTTTTTTGAAAGCAAACACTTTATTAAAATGTTGAATGGAACATCAATCAGAGATTTATAGAATGTTTATAGGGAAATAGCATATTGCAAAAGTAAGAATTAAAGCCATTTATGACCTGTAGATGAAATACATGTTACTTCTTAACAGTTTCACATGTAAAATTGTTTCAGTAGGGTTCAGATAATCTTTTTAGCAGTGAAGTATAAATCTACATCTTAAAGTCACAGATCTTCTCTCTGAAAAAATATGCTTTCAAGGATTTGAATAATAGGCCATAGATGTTTGTCATTTTCCTTGCTATTGACTAGACCTTCCTACCTGTTCTACCACAATACTTAAGGTTTATCAAGATTTAAGGGGCTTCCAGGCTATTGTCAAGTAATTTAAAGAACTGTCTTAATTCCCTCCATCTTATATCATCATACCTCAATGAAAAGCAATAATATTATAGGAAGCAACTTTTAGGCACCTGGCCTTAACAAAAGTGGGATTTGATTATCATGATTACTAGTCTTTTTTATTGAGAATTTCTAATTGAAAACTCTTTGTTCTTCTTGCTCTTTATTAAAGCATACTTAAAGTAACATTAAATCATACCATTAATATGCTCTCCAATTAAAATCCTCCCTTTCATTAACCTACTCTTTTTTATTTCTTTGTCCACTTACTGTTGTTTGTAATAATAGTAATAAAATAATATTTACCATTTGTTAAGGGGCTACCAAGTTCCAGACACCACTATCACTTCATATACCCCATCTGGTTTAATCTTCACAATTATCTGGACAGATAGGCACTTTTCCCATATTTCAACTTCTTTCCAAGGAATACACAGCTGGGAAATGAAGAATCAGGAGTACAACTCAGAAAGTGTATTATTCATATTTTATTGTTTCTCCTTTTCCATACAGTATAATTATTTCAAATCTATTTGAATTACTAGAAGGCCTGAGAAAACAGAGTTTAATGTTTAATTTTTTCATAGACTTATAACTCCTTTACAAATAATTTAATCTCTGGTTTTAGAATTTTATAGTCTGTATTGTTTTCTGACAGAACTTTTATGGAATCAAATTTTTATGAAAGAATATTGTAAGTGCAAAAACTCTTAGAGATTGCTTTTTGAATAATAATATCCTTAAAAGAAAGACACCCTGGAATAACTATTTAGAGCATGTACTTAGAGCCTGAACAAACCTGGATTCATACACAGGCTCTGCCACTTTTTATAAGTATGACCTCATGCAACTAACTTAAGCTCTCTATATTATAGTTTTGACATTTGGACAAGGGGTTTCATAATGACTACTTCACAGAAAACCTGTAACATGAAATGATACAATCTGTGTAAGGCTCTTTGTATATTCCCTGACACAAAAACTTTCTTATGCATATGAATTCACAATTTGAAAGTTAATGAAACTCTAATAGTCTTTACATTCTACTTCAAGTAAAATATTGCAAAGCCCACAATTATCACACGGTAATTGAGTAGGAAATAGCATTTAGTACTTGCTGAGAGAACACATGGAGGTTAGATACCACCCTCATCATAGCTATTAAAAGGCAATATTCTTGTTTATGTTATTCTAGACCTCCTCAAGCCAACTTTATCTGAGAGAGTATGGTGGGGTGTTTGCAGAGAACACTTGGTAGATCACTTTGCCCTTTCTCTTAGTTGAGATTTGGGGAAACCAAGGCAGCCAGATGAAGTGGAGTACGTGAAGATTATCCTTCCAAGAATGTGGGGAAAAAGGTACACTCATACACTGCTGATGGGACTGCAAATTGGTGCAGCCAATGTGGAAAGCAGTATGGAGATTTTTTTCTTGGAAAATTGAGAATGGAACCACCATTTGACACAGCTATCACTCTCCTCAGTCTGTACCCAAAGGACTTAAAAACAGCATACTACAGGGACACAGCCACATCCATGTTTATAGCAGCACAATTCACAATAGCTAAACTGTGTAACCAACCTAGATGCTCTTCAGTAGATGAATGGGGAAAAATGTGGCATATGTACACAATGTAATATTATTCAGCAATAAGAGAGAATAAAATCATGGCATTTGCAGGTAAATGGATGGAGTTAGAGAAGATAATGCTAAGTGAAATTAGCCAATCCCAAAAAACCAAATGCCGAGTGTTTTCTCTGCTATAAGGAGTCTGACTCCTAGTGGGGTAGGGAGAGGGAGCATGGGAGCAATAGACAAACTCTAGATAGGGCAGAGGTGTGGGAGGGGAGGGGAGGGGGCATGGAGTTAGATATCATGGTGGAATGTGATGGACATTATTATTCAAAGTACATGTATGAAGACATGAATTGGTGTGAATATACTTTGTATGCAACTAGAGATGGAAAATTGTGCTCTAAATTGTTATAAGAATTGTAATACATTCTGCTGTGACATATAAATAAAAAATTAATTTTTTAAAAAAAGATTATCCTTCCATGTTCTGATGAAGGTGCATTACCAACACTTGCACCAGGACAAAATAAATCCTATGCTCATCTTGGCAAATTATCTAGCTGTGAAGCTATAAGCAAACAAGCAGTTCTCTTGAGATTCTGATGCTGGGACTATATAACAGAAATATCTACCTCTGCCCTTTGATAAACTGGTAATCTTCAAGCCAAGATTCTATTTCTGGAGAATAGTTTGGTCAGAAGCTATCTAAGAGAAAGAATACAATTGAAGGAAATTGTAGAGTATACTAACAAGTTGAAATCAGCTCAGTTGTGAGGACTCTTGGGAATAGCATCTTAAGGATTTCAGTGGTATTAAGGTATTAAACAAACTGGTAGGAGGTGACAACCAGGATACCATGGATCTGTTCCATTTCAGAAGCTTTCCAGGCTAACCTCACTGATGGAGCCAGAATGCAATCATATTAATCTCCAAAGTGCCATTCACTTTTTATGTTACCTCTATGTCAGACCACCTGTTTCTCATGAGTCATGTTATGAATAAAATTTATTAATAACCATCTATCTGAAGATATTGAAGCATCCTAGAAGACAGGTGGTACAAATATGGGATTGATTTTCACTATTACTTTAGTTTGATAAGTAGCTGCATTCCCATCCCTGGTAAGGTCTTAAGAGACAATATAAGTAGAACACTTTTGTCTTCTTTTAAAAAGCACTTTACAAATGTACTATATACCCATTAGTACAGTAAAAGTGTTTTAGTAGTTATGTCTCAATTTATTCAGAACTTACATGCTTTGATGCTTTTTAAAATAAATATGAAAATTTAGTAGCTGTAGAAACTTTGAACATAGCATCCTATACTAACACAAATTATATTTGTATGTGAGGAAAATGAGGACCATTAAGATTGAATAATCTGGTCAAAATAATTCTTTGGAAATTATTCAATTTTTTTAAAAGTAATGATAATCTGAGTTGAGTAGGTAGAGTCAGCAGGGACCATTTTTAAACAATTTTATTAAGATGCAATTCACATAATATAGAATTTACACATTAAATGTATATAATTCAGTCATTTTTAATGTTTACAGAGTTCAAGCAGTACCAGAGTCTAATTTTAGAACATTTCATCACTTCAAAAATGAACTTCATATCCATTAGCACACCATATCCACCATCCCAATGCCAAGTAACCACTAATCTACATTTTGTCTCTGTGTATTTATTCTGTATATTTAATACAAAGGGAATCATACACCAAGTGCACTCTTGTCACTGGTTTCTTTCAATTAGTATAATATTTTTGAGGTTCATTTATGTTGAAGCATGTATCAATTTTAATAATGATATTATGTATTATATAAATGTGTATGTCTTTCTGCTTTCTAGATTTTTAATTTCTTTAAAAAATTTTATCAACTTTTCAATAGATGAAACTTGGAGTTCTTAAATTTATTCCTAAGTGTGTTATACTTTCTGAAACTATATTCAATTGAATTGTTTTCCTAATTTATTTTTCCTATTTTGTTTAATAATAGCATAACAATTCAATTATGATGATGAATATTCTAGCAGCTTCTATTTGTTTTGTATTCAAATATAAAAGCAGCAGTCCAATTTTTATTTTCCACATTGAATATTTAGTTTATTGCATTTTAATTGGGAGATTTTTAATTACTGCTTCAATTTCTTTACTCATTATTGGTCTTTTCAAATTTTCCTTTTTTCATGTTTCAGTCTTAGTAGGTTGTATGTGACTAGGAATGTATCCTGTTTTTTCTAGCTCATCAAATTTGTTGTCATATAATTATTCATAAGATACGCTCTTATGTTCTTCTATATTTCTGTTTTATCAGTAGCAATGTCTCATTACATAGATGATTTTATTTGCCCTTCATTTTTTATTTTATCAATTTAAATACTTGACTATTCTATCTTTAAAAAAACTTAGTTTCATTTTTATGTTTTCAATTGTCTTATTTCTTTTCTCATCATCACTATTTCCATCCGCCAACTTTAGGCTTAGCTTGCTTTTCTCCTTGAGGTTGGTGTAAAGTTT